CTCCTCCTTGAATACACTCATAAACTCTTCCTTCTATCGACAAAACATTTCCTGACGGAAACAAAATGGATAAAAAACTTGTATCCAGCAAAGAATCATTCACTTTCAAACTAGTTTCTTCTAAACCAGATTCTCCAACAATCTGGAATATCGGCTGTAATATCCACTGGAGAAACTAAGGTTGTAGAGAAGACTTTGTACAAGGTATGGTTTTTTATCAACACCTTACTTCCAGACACAACATGAATATCCGGTCCTCTAGGAACTTATACTGTATAAGTACTCGGATCAGAATAAATTATCTAGCGATATTCTCCAAGCATCAAAATACATAAAAGAATCAGAAAAATCCTGCAATACATTTATACACAAGCAAACTGGAATTATTGGCTACTTGTGACATATAATTGTTATCTGTTTGCTTCTTTCCACGAGACATTTCTAAAGTACACTTAGATGACTATGTGACGATCAGCTTCCTCTTGGATTCTGAACATGGTTATTCTTAGAAAGCGGTCTGACACTTTAAGAGAATTCAAAAAAATGATTTGTTGGTATTCTTCGCTTGTTAAATCAATAATAGAATGGAGCTAAAGTTCCTAGAAGAATAATAAACCTATATAGTCAGTAGATTGCAGCGAAACCCTGGTTCAGTATCTAAGGACATATAGAAGACTATTAACTATCACTAAATTGTTCTTTTCAAATAGACAAGATAGTAAAGGTTCAACTCATCCATCGACAGTATCCTCGAATAAACTTATAGAAGCCAGTTTTCCGAACTTCATCGTTGAACTGCTACAAAATCTACAGTTGAAAGCCTCAAAGATATTCAGAAGGAAGCGTAACTAATAAATTTCTAATATTAAAACCAAAATGAAGCCCTCTTTAGGATTGAACTGGCCAAAGTCCCACAAGCAAACTAAAACTAGGTCAAAAAGATGGTTGCATACATCACTAGCTACTCAAACTTTGTCAATAGCTATGGTAAACCGATGATAATGGAAATTTATGCACTATCTTCTTTCACAAGCGTTTTATACTTTCATCTACGTCTATTGTGACATATTTAAGGAAACTTTCCTCCTGGAGACATACATAAAGCTACTGAGATAGTAAATGGTCTAGCTAAAACGAATCTCAAAATAACAATGTTGTAAATAGAGAACTCTAATATTTCAAAAAAGTTGCTCTTATTTCATAAATGATACTATAGCCACGAACATTATTAGTTTTGAACAAACTCTACGTTGTATACTATCTTTCGGAGTTCCAGCTTAAAATGACCACCTTCGTAGACAGAGTTGGACTACCTTGGGATGGACGGTTCTTTGAATTTTCTCACTTGAGCACAATATCGGCGAAGAGGTAATGGAAACTATGATCGGGCTATCGAGTCGTTTAGTATCTTGGCGGTCTTTTGAGATAGAGCAGAACTTGGTAGTAATTTGAGCAATGAACTTCCTGTCTACCTTATTTAATTGGATGCTTAAAACCTTGCGTATATCACGACAAAAGCACGGAGTTTGTTTTAAACAAAATATGGTTCTAGTTGTATTCGACTTTCGTTGAAACAGAAAATAGTTATGAAAATAATCCGACGAGCTTTCTTCCGTTCTGTCGATCTTAGAAGGTTTCTCTCGCGGCCTCTCGAATCGAGATAGCTCAAGTATCATTTTATTGTTGTGGTGTTCTCTATAGTGTATTTTTAAATGAGGAAACCGTAACTAGATGCAGTTTAGTTTTACTAGAAAACATACCAACGACCTGAAATACTTTTGACGATTCAGGAAAAATCTTAAACAAAAAGGGAGTCGATATTTTTTTGTTGGCCTCGGAAACCATCTGAAAATTGTTTGAACGTGTAAACGGTCGTGCCCAGCTTCAACTGGAGATGAACAGTTAACTTGTGGTGTAATAACTGTTAGTGTTCCTTCCTTGCAAGTTGATTCAAGGAAGGGTCTTCTTGCAATCTAACCTTAAAGAAGAAGAAATAGTGCACCCAATCCTAGAACTGGAAAATATACAGAAGAGAGGGCTACAATGGAAAACTAACCGAAGGATATGAATAGTTGTGCCGTTACACAGTTGGAAAAGTTGAGGAAGGTCTTGGTTCTCTTTTTACACAAAAAATAACTAATATAACAATGAAAGTTGAAACTCTTTCACTTCTTCTTGCACATATATTTCAAGATTCACATTTGCTTTTTACAATGCACAGATAAAATGAAATATTCTCGTTTTTACAATTTTCCCAGTTTTAGGAAAACGGAGATTGGGAAAATGACAATGGCCAGATAGAACAGCTACTCCCATTATTTGAGGCATAGATGCGGATATCAAAGTACTGAAGAATCACTGGGATGTTTTGCGTAGGGTTTCGCCAAGTAGTACTAACGAAATTGATGCCAATTGAATACATTGGTGTTCAACTCGTTGCTTTATTGGAAAACTCTGAGAGTGCTTGACATATATTTTTAATCTGACGCATTGGAAGTAAGCTGTTTTAGGAAGAACAGTACTCTCATTGCCAATGACAGCCATAAGAAGAATGAATTTGAATATAGTGGTATTAGAGTCGCGTTCATCATCATCTGAATTATGCGATTGAAATTCAATGAGCATGGAATATAACCAATCATATACTCAAATATATTTTTGTAGCATACTCTACGTATCAATAACCATGGTTTTTGCAGGATATTGGAAATAGTCGATCAAACGAATGCTATTCAAAACCTTAGAAAACAAATAGACTACAAATTTCACATCAAAATAAAACAGAAGTTTAATAAACACAAAAGATTTCAACTTGAAACACTTAATGCAAGTTTCAACAAATGCTCATATAGAGGAGAACCCAAACCTGATGCTGGATCCCAGCCTTTCAAAGCAGGGAATCCCAACAAACAACAAGGATTTCCAAATTCTGTGCAACGATTATTTCCAATAGTTATATCTAAGAAAGCTTCTGGCATAACTTCTGCAGCATAGTATAAGAAAGGATTAATGAATCCCATCGGAGGCATTCCTCGTGAAAGACGTTCATAATTCAACATGGAAACCATCGAAGCAAACATGGGAGCTGAAATAGAAGTTCCTCCAACACCAACCCATTGTGCCGGCTGTTCAGTATATACGGGAGTGTTCCAACCAAACAGTGCAACATCAGGATAACCTCTTCCATGTGGATTGTAAGAGCCATTTGGTGGAAATAGATTGTCAGTGTTCACTTGATACAACTGTTTTTGATAAGCTGCAACTGCTTCTTTCTGATAGAAAGGAATCTCTTGTACCCAACTATGTCCACCACCTCCGGTGATAATACCGCCTTGGTCTGCACTACAAACTTGAGTTAAAATCTTTTTCTCTCCATTTTCTATTTGTAATAAGGGCTGAGAAGCTCCTACACTAGTAACAAAAGGGGAAGAGGCAGGATAAATAGGGGCCATGTAAGGATAGCATCCAAAGTTTCCATCTTCATAACGACCTGAAGCTCCCCAATCTCCAGCAGATACAGCATAAGTGACTCCACGAACGGCAAGTTTTAGAAACTCCACATTGGTAGCCTGAATAAACTCCGAGGGTAATAAGTTATCGGGTGTAACAAATGCTGAGCTTTGCGATATTACTAGAGGTAAATGATCATCGCTCAACTCATTGATTCCCACGTAGTACAATATGTTCTCTAGATAAGTTGAACAATGTTTGGTATTGCTCGGCATGAAAAAATGCTCCGACATGTACGCCAAGCTACTTTGTTGTTCAATGTCCAATGAGGGCTCTACACCAGGATCATCTGGGTTGTTCTTCACTGGAAACAAAGGATTCTCTATGACCTTTACATGCACACTCTCCTGTCCAAAAGTATGTAAAAAGTAGTCCAACTCAGAAGGATTGAAGAAGTAATTCAAACCACAACCAATAGCAGCCATAATGGTGTTGTTGTGAAAGACTTTTAGCTTCTTATCATAAGGAGGAATATCATAAGACTTTCGAACTACTGGAGGAATATCTGCTTGACCATACATAAATGTATATGGCTCAGCTGTAGGAGCTGAGCTACTTCCACTGGCTGCAACAAAAGCAGACTCTAAGTCATTAGAAAACTTGGTAGCTGCATATAATTGTATGGGAACATATTCATCGAAGAATGCGCCATCGGTACCTGGAAGAGGAATTACCATAACGCCTAGAAACAAGAATGAGTTTTCTGCAAAGATATTATCTCAGTATTGTGAATACCTATATCAGGAGATTCGTCCAGCATCTTCTTTTCACAGTATCCTGCATAATTCATAAAGGCTACGGGATCCGATTCATAAACCTCCTTACACCAACGCTTCAAATTGTAAGAATATTTCGACAGTTCTTTCCCTTCGAATGTCTTCGTTACAGACAGACTGGAATTGTGTGCATCCTTTGCGTAGATAATCACTTTTTCAATCGACACATCTGTGTCATAACAACTAAATGGATGTTTACTGTCATCTTCATAATGAGACAATTGATTATCTGCACAAACCGGAACAACCAAAAGATAGAAACCATTATCTGAAGTAGAAAGTGTATTGAAAAGCGGAATAGGTGGTGGAAGAAAAGGAGAAAGATCATTATGCCCCCCTAATACGTTCTCTGCTACATGAGGAGCTCGCCTACGATAAGTTTCGAATTTTTGACGACTTTTTTGCTCTAGATTAGAGAGCCCTTGAGAAATTTCTTCTCTTCTTCTGCTTGCGAGTGCTGCTAATAAAGTATGACGACTTTCTGATAAACTATCTTGCAAGTTATATGCAAGCTTCACATATCGCTTAACAACGTCAGAAGGTGACTCTTTTCTTGGTTTATGAATGGACATTCTAACTTTCTCTGTACCAACATGTTCTGTTCTTTCTTCACGCTGAAATAGACGGTCAAAAACAGATGGTGGAAATTGGCATGAAATGTAGTCCTTCGTCCTATGCACTTGAATGGACGATGCTCCTAACTCCTCCAATCCTCTGATTATGTTATTCATCTCTGTTTCGGAAGGAGCAATAATGTCTGCTATATCTTCTGCTTTCAAGTGTCTTCCATATAGAGGACTTTTGGGATGAGAAATACCCACTAATAATCTCTCCAACTCGTCAATATTTTTTTGTTCCAGTTGTAGTAGAACAGGGATACTCTCAAGGTTTGCACTTTCTTTGCTAGTGACTGCCTCTGTATATCTACTCAAGACTAGTATGACAAGCACTAAGAAAAAGACATAGTTCCACCGCTGAGAGGTCTTCATCAAAAGCTAGAGGAAGGTTTAGTCGCTGACCAGACGAAGATAAAGGCAAAAACAGAACTGAACATTACTATGGTGTCATCGCTTGGTCATTTATAGGCTGAGTCCAAAAGACAGCCAGGTCCTTCGACGAGAATGTCCCAGGGAGTTATGCATTCCACCCACAACTTGGACAAATGAATGACTGAAATCGTTTCGCAGTTCTCTTTACGACTGCTAGTTGTTTCTCGTAAAAGTTTCTCAAGACCAACCGTATTTTCTAATTTATCAACTTGACAAACTTGTCCTTTCAGAATATATGTATAACGCCATGCTGTTTTTTTGAAGATATTTTTTTAACTCTGCAAGTTGTTGTAGGATGGGACAGCAACTTCAGAAGGACTTGGCACTTTTACTGCTATCTTCGAGTCACGCTATATTACTCTTCATGACTACAGATATCTGATTGTAGAGTAAGAAATGTTACTGTCAAGAGTTAAATGGTCATTCAAGAATATTTCTTATTACTATTCTCTCTTCGTTATCAATAGACGAGGTGAATGCAAAGTAGTTCTTTCACAAGGTTAGTGACTCTTTAGTATGACAATATGGTCTGTTCCATAGATGAGTTTGTTCTCCATTTCTTTACGATACAGTGTCACTTTTGGGGTCAAGGAAACACAAATTGTGAAACAATGACCATTTATAGTCAATTGAGATGATTCTGTGAGAAAGTCTTAATGTACTTGGACAAAAGGAGACATTACCATACCGTTGATACATGTCTCCTTTTCTTTTATTTTCCAATCGTCTCCTTCCAGTTTTACGATATTTCTATTCCAAACTTGAAAAATTTCCAACTTGAAAACGTCGTAGTGATATTTTCCAATTGTCTGTTTTCACGATACCTTGAAAGAAACTTCTTGTAACCAGCAAGTGCCGTTGAAGCCTTTTCCTTTCCATAAAATACATTGTTTGGCAAAAGTTCCAAGGTCAAGTAGTGTTCAGCTAAATACATTTTTTAACAGTCTTTCCATAACGTCTCAAACTTGACCAAAGTATTTCCTCTCAGGTCCGACAAATGAACCACGGGTTACAAAACTGTAGCTGGGTTAAACTCTTATTCCTCCTGGCTATTAGAAAAATATTAATAGGATAGAGCGACTCAATTTGAAAGAAAAAAAAGACCCCGAATTGAGCAAGAATTTCAAAATGGTTCCAAACTCCAGGTGAAACGTTCATCTGTCAATTAAGAAAGTACGAGACTTCAAGCAATATGTGATTCCAATGTTCCATCAATCAAACGTGTATATACACTCTCTTCTTTAGTTTCCATTCAACGGAAAAAGTGTTGACGTCCTATACGACAAAAATTTCGTGTCTACGAATAGATTAAAGACTAGAATAACATAGCACTCTATCACTTTTGGGAAATTAAAATTTTTTTTCATTGCTCAACTGATTGAGTGGTACCTGTGACAGGTACTCAATGTTGATATGGTTCCACTTCAAATATCTCAAACTCCCATTCTTATTCTGCGTTGTACCACCACTAAAGACTTTGATATATAGAAGAAGAACATCTAAGCGTTGAAAACAAAACCACAGAGAAGCGTGTACGTGAAGAAACAGAATCTTACAGAAAACAAGCAAAGAGCTAAAGCGGTTGACAAGACTTTAAAGCGTTGCGCAAGAGACAAGTCATTACTCGATAATATAGCAATCACCAACCATAGACAAGTTATCAAGAACTGACTGACTATTCTCTTTTCTAAGAAACCAAACTCTTATCTACATTTCTGCTGCGAGTCGCATGCACTTTTCTTCAAATAGAAGAAGCAAATAGACAATAACATACAATCTCTAGAATACTCAAAACAGTCTTTTATCGTATCAACAACAAACAAACAACGTGCGTTAACTACTCTCACCATATACAGTAACTTTAAATTCGAAATAGTCCACTCTCCCTTTCAAATATAGGAAACTACTGATCCAAAAAGAAAATATTGGTACTCAAAAAAACCTTGTTCCTTACAAACTGGTAATTGTTGTTCCTCCGAGGAGAGAAGAGATAGGAGGGGAGAAACACAATAAGCGATGCTTAGGTGTCTTTCCACGCTCCTCTCTCCTGTCAACGATCAACGCACCTTCATGTGGGGTTTTGGAAGGTTCGAAGATATTCGTATTCTCCTCTTCACTTTAGCACTGTATTTTCAAAGGGAGATCAATCCTATTGAATCCAAGTAGAAACTGTGATGCTTCCGGAGCTAGCCAATTTACCATATGTCCTTGAGACATTTGAGAGATGCTGCACGGAGAGCGTTTGACCCTGTGGCATATGTGTCTTTCTATCAGCTGAGGTTCACTTGTAACTGCTGAAGATTACTGGTTTCCAAAGATGCTATTAGCTTGAGTAAATATGTTCGATTTAGGGGTGACCACTGAAACCAAAGTGTCTCGTTCGAAGTTACTGGTGGAAAAATATTTAACTGAGCAACAAGGCGATTTTGGAGGTAACCTGGCTACCTCACCTCTTTCTTCTGCAAGTGCAGGATCCAACCTCTCTCAACACTGCTCAGTTTTTGCTCCAGTGCAAGGTTCTGGTGAAGATTATGAGGGGCTTTTTCGTGAACAGCGTACGAAGGTACTGATGGATGGCCATTCAGATAAGCGCAAAAAGACAGCTGGTAAGGGAAGAAAGCCCGGTAGACCTCCCTCTTTGTTTGTCAATGTGTCCGACTCGGAACTTACAGAAGAAGAGAAAAAGTTGAAAGCAAAGATTTTGAAACGAAGACAAAGACAGAATAGGTCGTATCAAAGGAAAAAATTGGAAAAGAATATGCTTCGAAAGGACTCTGGTGCTTCCAAAGTTATCGAAGCAACAAGTTCTGAGCAAGTTGCTAAGACGGCTCCCACCTTATTTGGAAGTTCTAGTTCTTCGGTTTCTGTGGAATGTGGTTACACTTTATGTAATACTGATAACAAGTGTTCGAGTTCCTACATGGGTGACTTGGAGGGCTATCCAGCCAATAGCTTCTCTTGCTCTTCATCCTTGGAGGAATCCTCGTTCGATGATCCTTTACAACAGCTGTTGAGGCAGGATATGGATGCAGCTTCTGAAACCTGTTGTACAGGGCAAGATATTTCACAGTCCATATGGCCACCAAATAGATTCTTTATAGATAATTCTGCGCATTGTATGTTCGATAATACTCTTTTAGGAAAGTCTGCTGTGACAGCTTCCACTTGGAAGCGAATGGAAAATGTGTTCACTAGTCTTTCCCTATCCGCCCAAGAAGCGTGGAAGGCGTTTTCTATCTTTGCTGATAGTTTTGATTGCGCTGCTGCTTTCCATATCCTTGGATGGTCTGAAAATGAACATTCTATGTTCTTGAATACGATTGATTCTTTAGAGCAGTCAAATGTGCTTAAGGTGGATTCTTCACAAAGCAGATTGCAACTCTATCCAGTAGCAAAATGCTTTATAGTGGAGCATTTGTTTAAAATGAGTGGTTATTATCGACAGAAATTTGAAATATTCAAATATCGCTACTTGGGATATTATTCTCAGTGGATTCAGCAACATGTGAATGATGTAATGTTTCTTCAATTGGGTAGTTGTAAACAGCAAGCTTTAAGGGTGTATCATTTGGAAAAAGCAAATATAGAGCAAGCATTTCAACTTGCAAAGGAATTGGGTTGGAGAACATATCGCTGGTTTGTTGTTGCCACTGGATGTTTACTTAGATATGTTTGGGATATTTCCACTAGGAAGGAACAATATTGCAGTTTATTAGAAAAAGAAGATGCACAAAGCCATGTCAAGCCATTATCGGATAGTCCCGTTGGAATAGAACAACTCTATTTGGAAGACGAGAATTTGGACACTTTTTT